AAGGTGATCTCAACAAGGAATTTGAAATGTCTGATTTGGGTGACATTTCATACTTCTTTAGTATCGAATTCTACAAGAGTAGTAGAGGTTTGATGATGCATCAAAGAAGATATGCAGGAAAAAATTTCAAGAGATTTGAGATGGAAGAATGCAACTCGACTTCGACACCTACAGAACCAAGACTGCAACTATCGAAAGATTCAGAAGAAGATGTCAGTCCAACCCAATACAGAAGACTTATTGGGTCACTAAGATACCTTTGTCACACGGGGCCAGACTTAGCATACAATGTAGTTATGGTAACTAAATTCATGCAGAAGCCAAAGGTATCACATCTAGCAGCGGTGAAGAGGATACTAAGGTATCTCAAAGGAACTCACGACTATGGTATTTTATTTCCTGCAGCTGATAAAGGAAAAGAATGCAAGTTAGTGGGGTACACTAATTCGAGTTGGTGTAGTGATACTGAGGATCGAAAATCCACATCAGAATATGTGTTTATGATAGGTGGTGCATCAGTTGTATGGAGTTCGAGAAAGAAACCAGTAGTGCATTATCATCATGCGACGCAGAATACATAGTTGTTTCTCTTTGTGCATGTCAAGCAACATGGATGGTGAACTTGGACGAAGAGATAACAGGTAAAGATCATGGAACAATTACCATGAAGATCGACAGCATGTCAGCTACCAAGTTGGCAAAGAATCTGATAGCTCATGGTCGAAGCAAGCACATCGAAATGAGGTTCCACTATCTTCGAGAGCAGGTAGCAGATGGGAAGATGAACTTGGAATAGTGCAGAACTGAGAATCAGATTGTAGATATCATGACGAAGGGAGTGCAGGTCGAAGTATTTCGAAGACTAAGAGCTATGATGAATATAGATAGTTTAGACACAATGAATTAGGTGGTGTGTTAAAATTGTAATTCATAATGTTGAAACTGTGTGTGTGTGTCGAAGGGTTAGAGATTATCGAAGCAGTTTGCTCGACAAATTAGATTTATTTTATTAGATAGATTTGATTTAGATCTAAAATAGAATAGATTTGATTTAGTTTCAAAATAGGTATTTTGTGCTTTTATAATTTTGGGTTTTGGCTTACGGAGCAAGCTAACCTAAATCTATAAATAGAGAGAGTAACCCCTATTTTTGCAATCAAGTCAATTTATCGTATTCACAGAATTTGCAGTTGCAAGTGAATAATAAAGTTTTCCACAATTTGTGGACAAAAAGAAATTCTACAGAAAATTAATTGTTTTTTTTTTCTTTTAATTTATTGTTATTGTGTGGTGATATCAATCTTATTTATCAAGATTGATAAAAATTCATCATAAATATTTAATAGATTTCCGATAAATTCTAAAAGAAGAACTAAGAAGAAAGTGGTGATGAATGGTTCATGACTTTGGGGTCAATTTCATGCTTTGACAATACTTTAATTAAATGCATTTCTTAATAATTCAAAACACCCAAAGAGTAGGAATTGCAAACGAAGAATCACTGCTAGAAGCATTCTTCGTTATAAAATAGAAATAATAACGTTTCAATTTTTTTCTTAAATTGATCCTATAAATAAAAAATCGAATTGAACATAATAACTAGACTAGTATATGATCAAGAATCGTTTTTTTTTTTCCTTGGGTCAAAGATAATTGGTGTGGGTCAACTATTAGACTACATATGTATGAGAACAAAAAAAAAACAATTTGACAGACTGGAAATTTTTTGTGAAAAGGTTAAAAAATCGAACTGGTTCAACTAGTTGTATAGTTAAACTGACCCGACCGTTTCATTATGTATTAAATTCTCTAAGAATTGATATAATAGTAAATGTTTGGGTCTTAAAAGTGTACTATTTCAATGTTTCATGTTCCAATTCTGTTAAATATAAATAATTCTTATGTTAGATCAATTTCATATAAAGTTTAGCTTTGATTTTATATGGAGTTTCGTGAATAGTCAAGTGAAATTTATCACTTTGAATTAGTCGATTGTAAAGTTAGATCAATTTCATATAAAGTTTAGTTCTAATTTTAAATGGAGTTCCGTGAAAAGTCAAGTGAAATTTTCACTTTGAATTAGTCGATTGTAAAGTTGAATATCAATACTTAAAAAAATTAAATTTTAATTACAAAAATATGATGCTTAATCAAATTTTATATTATGCTTAAGGTATTAACTATCAACTTAAACTATGTAATTAGTAATATAAGATATAACAATAAATTATTAATGTTTAAATTTTTTTTAATAAGCAATTTGTATCTAATAGAATTTGAATCTGAGACCTGGAGAAAAATACATCTTAAGACCTAAGTTTTCACCACTAAATCACACAAATTAATAAACACTTTTATAACACATATTCATTTTCCTCTATCTCTCTCTCCCGATCACTTTCAAATTGTTTCCCTTTTCTTATTACTCACATTTTAAATTTCAAATTTTATTCAATTTCTCTTCTCATCTTTTACTATATCTTTCACTCACATTTTAATTTAAACATAATTTATTTTATTTTTTTTCATTATTTATTTATTATCATTAAAAATATTAATAATTTATCTTTTAATTTTAATAAAGTTAATAATTTATTTTATCTCACGGATCACTATCAATAAAATATCTATTTTATATTAATTAATTATTTTTTATTATCTTAATTTGAGAAATAAAATTCTTATTTTTAAATATTAATTTTTTTCTTTCTCTATTTCACAGTTTTTTTTTCTTTTTGTATAATTAAATTTTCTTTTAGTGTGATTATTTAATACAATTAAATTTATATGATTATTGTCTATTTTACAATGAAGTAAATTATTTCAAATTTTGCATGTATATTTAAATACATTGTAGGGTTAAATATGTTTTCAATTTTTATAAATATGCGACTCTGCAATTTTAGTCCTCCAAATTTTTTTTTTCACAATAGTCTTTGCAAACTTTTCCATCCACAATTTTAATCCTTACCGTCAACTTTCATTAACGGTACTTACGTGACACGACACATCTGAAAAATATTTAAAATTGTTGAGCTTTTAAATCTCCTCTAAACTATCCAAAAAAAAAAATTGATTATGTACTTTTCTCGAACAAACAAGTTTTGGTATCAGTTTACACACTTGCTTATTACTGCAAACAACGCAATAAAGTTGGGCAGAATATGAGAATAAGGAGCAGTGGATCAAAACATATGCAGATTGTAAGCATATATACATTCATCTCACTCATTATCAGCATAGCATAAAACTTCAATTTTTGCGTAAGTTAACATGTCACTCGTGAAGTTTTATGGAATTGCAGATTTAGTGTTGGAGCTCTAAAAGGCAGAGGATAACACAATGATTGGGGTTATTTTGATGTGTAATCTCAAAGTTTGTTGTGTGTATGTATGGTGTGTTTAATTATATATATCAACTTGTTTTGTTCTTTATGGTTCCACAAGGATGAATTAAGAATTAAGAATTATAATTATAACTATCATCATATTACTTATTTATCAAGCAAGAGAATGAAAAGAATTATAATAGATGAATGGCGTGCGAGTTCTGGATTCATTCATATAGCATTATAGTACTACTACTTAAAACATAAAAAGAGGAACAAGGGAGGTGTATGATTAAAAAAATAGGAATTGGTAGAAGAGAAGAGAGAGAATGCCGAAGAGGACGACGCATACATACTCAAGCGAGGATGCGGCTCCTGAAGGCCTTAACTCCGATCTCTTTGTTTATTACTGCAAACACTGCGGATCACATGTTCTCATCACTGGTCAGTTTCTTTCTTCAATCTCTCTTATTTTCTAAATCAATTGATTGCAGAAAGTAACTAACCTAAAAACTCAAAAGACACCCAATTGCAGAAAATGCCTAGAAGAAACATCCACAGAGCATACGTATTAGACAAGACCAAACATCTTGTTAGACTCAATACTTCCTGAACAACTTGTTTGCAAGCTGTATGAGAAAAATTCAGAACCAATTTTTTTTTGTTTTTTGTTTTGTTAGTTTAGAGAGATTTAAAATCTCGGCAATTTGAAATGTTTTTTAAATGTTAATTTTCATTAGTGAAAGTTGACGACCAAAAATATAGACGAAAAAAGAACTAAAATTATATAATTGTATATTAAATAATTTTTTATTTCATGAATCATTATTAACACAATATTTATTTTATATTAATCAACAATTAATCTTGATTTAAAAGACAATCCTTATTTTAAAATATCAACAAAAAAAAAAATTTCTAAGTCATTTTTTTTCTTTTTCATGATTATTGTTTATATAATTATTTTTTTGTTTTACAATCAAATAACTCTTTTCAAATTTACATCTATATATAAATATATTTTATATTATATTAAATAAACTTTTTAATTCACATATTACTATCGACACAATACATATTTAATTTTAATCAACAATTATCTTAATTTAAAAGATAAGATTCTTATTTTTACATATTAAATTATTTTTTTTCTTTCATCTCACAAGTCTATTTTTTTCTGTTTGTATTTTAATATAATTTGGTGTATATAATTATTGTTCATTTTTAAGTTAATAGCTAATTTCAAATTTAGATACATATATACCCAATAATTCATCTAGTTAATTTATTAATAACATATCGCACGGGTATATGCCTATCTTGTTGGTTTATTAATAAACTATGATATGAGGAGTATAAGATACCAAGTAGAACTACATTCACAACTAATTTATCTCAGAGGTTTAAAATCAAGTAACAATTTGCAAGCTACAGTCATTTGTATATATCCATTACAATATATTCAATACTTCAGGCTTAACACACTTTATTAACAGCTGATGAATATGCAAATTCCTATAAACTATACCCTGATCAAAGCAAGAGATGCACTAAACACATAAGTATACAAATATAAGCCACCTGCATGGAACCCAGTGGTCAAATGATATTATGCTGCACAATGAATTTGGCAGATGCCTGAACTATACAGATAGATAAGATGCGCCACAACTCACAGACGAATTGAGCTCAATACCGCACTAGTAATATCTATATGGCGAGTGAAAGGCGATTTTGTGACCACTGTTCTCCATGTCTTCTTTTTCGGATTATAGATTTGAAAGCACATGGTTCCTGTTTTCTTATAGGGCCTGGACCTTCGAGTTTCTGCAAAATCATCATCATACAAATGCGACAATACATACAGCTCGCCAGATGCTACTACAACGCCAAAGGCCGAGCCAAGGGGAGCTTTTTTTGGCACACGAGACTCGTATTCCCAACGATTTGAAGACGTCTCATATCTGCAAGTTGTATAGAGAAAGAAAAAAGTGAATTACAGATTAGTGAAATGATGAAAGTGGTCGATATTCTTATATTCTTCTGTAATATTTGGATTTAAAACTGAACCTCTACAACCTAATCCCACATCTGCCCAACCACTCACCCAGGTCCTCGTGTCAGGTATAATACACTGATGACCAGGGCTGTGAAAATAACAAGGAAAACTATGTGGATAGAGAACAAATTCAGATTGATTATCCAGGAAAACTAATGTTCAATAACTGAACTTGTTATCCGTTTATATTTGCTATAATCGGTTGTAATCAACTATTACAGAGACGTTATACTCTGATAATGTGCACCACTTCTCCACACACACAACAAATCAAATTTGAAATGGATCTTACTAGACTCACCTAAACTTTAGCAGGACTTACTAAGCATTTATAAGACTCGCAAATTTGTACACATCAAACAAAGGTTGCCAAACTCATAGCCTCAGATACAACCTTGGATTGGTTGGACAAGGAAGGTTGCCAAAGGATATGATCCAGGACAAAAAAAGAGAGATACATCTCATAACCAAAAGATCCTAACACTCAGTCTAAGTCACATAAACCAAGAAACCCATTAGAAAGCAAGTGAACAAGCACAAACCAGAAAATAGAGGAACTCAAAATCTGCAAACTCAGTCTAAATTAAAGTCTCACATTCCAAAATTCTCAATCAAAGTTGTATCAATCAGCATAATTATACTAACATTGCCAAGATGAAGTTGCATGACACTGCAGCCTAAACAAGACTGCGCTGCATCCAAGATTCGTAGTTGCTATAAAGAAGTGTTAATTAACATCCTATTCTAACAAGCATGCAAGAAACAAGCACGTAAAAATTAAAGATTTACAATATAATGAAGGATCAAGCCTAACAAAAAAGGAAGATGCTATCTTTTCATGCAAAGTGCAAACTTAATAGTTACTTCAATTTTAACAAAACATATAATTCATAAACAAATCAAAAACATTTGAAACAAAATCTAACAAGCATAGATTCAAAGATATTCTTAATGCTTATAGCAATTGAATAATCAGGGAACCCAAAACGCGAAAGTACCTGAAAATCTCATTCCCATCAAGCATGAACACCAAAGGAGAGCCACTATCATCACCAACAACAATTTTCCCAGCCCTAACATCCTCTCCATCCCCCCATGTCTCACCAACCTCCCGCCACGCACCGTCCTCCAAACCCATCACCGCCGCATCTCTACAATACTCATCCACCGGAAAAACCCCCGAAACAGTCCTCGAAGCACTATAACCACCAACAACCCAAAACTCCTCCCTCTCCCTCTCCATAAACCCAACACACCCAGCCCGAAAACACGGAAGAGGATCCAATTCCTCCCACTGATCCTCCACCACATCATACCGCTCCACCGCCCGAATCCGAGATCCCGCCGCAGCAAAAACCGTATGCCGCGATCCACCTCCGGCGACAATAATCTCACCGGAGGAAGGAACCACAGCATACGCGAAACTTCCGCGAGGCGAAATCATCGGAGCGCGATCCTCCCACGAGAAATCACGGAAATTGAAACGGAAAGTCGCGGAAGACGACGACGGACGGTTGATCGGAAAAGAGCGAGTATCAAAAAGCGACCCGCCGATGATGTAAATATGAGAACCAAACGGAACGGCGGCGAAGTTACACAAACCGTAAACGTGAGGGTTACACGGCATAGGAGGAAGAGGACACCAAGCGACGGCGTTAGCGTCGAAGAGATACGGCGACGCGATTGAAGGATCTTGAGGAAAGATACAGATGAGATTGTTACGGTTTTGACCTAACAGTGTGTTGAGAAATGACTTTGATGAAAGTGCGGATTTCCATGATTTGGAAGTTGATTTGAGACGAGCGTGGTGAGCGTAAGGTACCATGGAGAGGATGGTTCTGGAAACTTCGTTTGGGAGGCCGGGGATGAGGATTGATGACGGCGGTGGTGATGGTGATGGTGGAGGGTTAGCGACGGAATCAGCGTCGGAATTCATTTTTCTTTGTTACTGTATTTTATTTGCGTCAACGCGAGTTTTTATTTGCGTGGGAGCGCGTTTTGTGAGTTTGGGGTTGCGCGTTTTCTTGTAGGACAAGATTCACAAGATAATGTAAGTGGGGTTACTCTACATTTTAGTTGTCTTTTTTCATTATTCTAGAAAGAAGAGGTTCTTTTAGGATTTCATTTTTTTATGGATTATGATCACTTTTCTTTGTTTATTGATTGTGATCACATTTTCGTTCAAAATAAATGTGCGTTTGACCAAGTCTTTAGAATATTTTGTCTAAAATATTACCCCATGTGATTTAATTGTCAAATCTTAATAAATATGAAGAATACTTAGTCTAAATATTGAAGGTGATTTAATTTTAAAATCTTAATAAATGTAAGGTTTTGTATCAAATTTTACTATAGGGTTTAAAGATAGTGTAAAATAATTTTATATATATATAATTGATCAAAACTCTTTTATTTGTTGTGTTACTTCACTATTTTAAAAATAAAATTGGAATTTATTATGATACTAATCTCTTATTGGTTGATAGTGTAAAAATATTTTATATCATTAATGAATTTTTTTTTTTCTCTTTACTATAATATGAGATGAGGGACGTGCGAAATATCCGGTTATCAGGCCTAAATCCATAACCGGATCTAAATCCATTTTAAATATTCAGATATTATGAAATGGTTATCAATAAGATATTTTATAAATAGTTGGTTATCCATCCATATTTTATTGTAAGTAAATTCCAGTACAAATTTGCTCTATTGTAAGTAAATTCTTCTATCCACTTTATGGGTTAAGTTGTTTTGTGTTGTTACTTGTTGGTGGTTTAAAAATATTGAAGATTAGGTTAGGATTTGATGTTAGAGTTGTTGTTTCTCCAAATCTTATTTTTGGAACCTCTGCAGAAATTTCAAAAACTTAAAACCCCATGTATATGTTGTACTAGTTTTCATTATCCATATAGGAAAGATAGATAGAGCATACTCTCAATCTCAAGGTAATGTTTTGTTCATGCATTAATCGTATAAGGATATTGTTAGACTGCGACGACTTACTTAGAGGGGGTGAATATATTTTCAATTAAAAAATACTTTTTAAAATAGTTACTTAAAAATTTATTTGAAAAATAATGTTGAGCAGAAGGTTTTTGGCCTAGATCAAAATAGTAGTCTAAACGAACCTAGTTATTAGAAACTCGGATATGCACAAGTCATTTGGAATTAAGATAATCATAAAATCAATCAACATAATAATATCTCAAATAATAGTTTAATATCAAACACAATAGTTTCATATTTCCAATGAAATCATATTAAAAACATAACTTGACACTTTATCGAACATATCGCGCGCAATCAATTTTCAGAATTTTCTTTGAGCTTTGTTGATATGAAAGAGCACTTACAGTCAAAGTCATTAAAATCTAATCAATAAAGAAATTTAAACTTTAACAATCAAAGAAATATTCTATATGAGTCGATCGATCTAATGCCACATTCAACAAATTGCATATAAAAAGTAAATGAGAGTAAGTGATAGAACATTGCAATTTTCCTTTGAGTTGAACAAGCTAAACAGTTTTTCAAACACTTGGTGTGCAATCAAAGTTTCAAAAATTTCCTTTGTGTTGTGTTGATATGAAAAAACACTTATAACCAAAAGTGATTATAAGCAACTCAACACACAATTCAAAATAAAAAAAGTCTCAAAAAATTCCTACACATCGATAGATTACTAAATGCTATTTGACAAATTGATATATGAAAATTAAAGCAAGTAAAGCAATAAAAGAAAAGAGACATAAGGATTTGTCTACACAGTTCTCCACTTCCATCCTCGCATGTGGGCACGTCTGCGCCCAAATCCAATGTGGAATTAGGATACTTTCTTACGTTACAAAAAGTATGATTACAAAAGAAGTGTTCAAGAGAAACTCTACAAACTATAAATGTTTGATGTTGATTCAACTCCTTTCCTTCTTTCGATCTTCAACAAGATCAAACACACAATATTTGCCAATTGATTATCTGGATCTTGCTACTCATTTGCATTCTTTATCTCCAAAGCTTTCGCGCACCATCAATTGCACCTATTGCAACATAAGACTTCAATTTGATTCGTTGTTCTTGCGCTACTTCCTTTGTGTTCTTTATCTCTAAAGGATTCTTTGCATTCTTTATCTCCAAAGGGATTTCACTAGGCCGCAATCCTCTCTTGAATTTCTTGCATGAAAACCCCAAAATCAATCAATGATCTTGGAGGATAAACCTGCGTTTTTTCCATATGAAGCCTCTACAAATCTCAACCCAATATTCTCAGCTACACAAGAACCTAATTAAACGTTATGAAACCTCGTCTAGATGGCACCCTAACAAATGATCATTACAATGGACTATTAGTGTGTATGCATAGATTGGAGGTTAAAGATAAAGAGAAAATGTAGGTTAATTGTATGGTATCATCAAGTTGAAATGATACATGAATGATATATTTATAGTTGACATCTTTTTAGGCAAAAGGGGAAAGTTTCATAATGAAAAAAATATTTAAAAAATGACCCACAAAACAGTATGTGCCGATCTTAAAGGGTTATATATTGACACATACAAAACAATAGCTACAGGCTTTAATGTTGAAGCACGTGTGTCGGCGAATAAATCGTATGTGTCAACACATACTGAAGCTTTTAAAAAATTACATAAATGCTGATTTTATGTGTTGACACATACAAATTTTAGGTCGACACATAAATATATTTTTTGTGTAAAAACTGATTTTTCATGATTGGGACCAATTTTAAACTTGTTTTAAATGATTCCTAAGACTCCTAATGTAAGGGAATGCCACATGACATAGATATATTGTCCAATATACATAAATGTTAAGTTTTCTTAGTTTTGACATCATACAAAATATCTAATGGTGAAGTTGCACTCACATACTCCCCCTTTTTTATGATGGCAAAACTTACGACGATGCATTTCATGTAGTTATCGAAGGCTCCCCCTGACTTTGTGCTTCTCAACTTTATCTCGCATATGCTTCTCCCCCTTTGAAAACATCAAAAAGAAAAAAGATAAATCGTGAGAAGTATCATAATCCAATAAAAATACTAATATATCACTCAAAGGTATTTTTGCAAAAAAAAAAACATACAATTGCATATCCCCATACATATGTAATGATGTAAAATTAATAGATAGTCAAGCATAAAACATTACCAAACATGTAATGCAATTGCATGAATAATAATGAATGTGATGCAAGAGTAAGCTAGTCAAGTTATTTTTATAGCGTCACGATACACAACACAATGGAACTCCTGATACAGCACACGCATGTGCCTAGCATAGCGACAAGAACATGTCACAACTCAAACTAAAATGAAAATATTGTCATAAAATGTGACTCAACTACAACAAGAACCGTACATGCAGTTGACATGCTTACATCCAATTCATGCATGAATGTAAGAAATAATAATAGAAACACATGCTTTTACATACAAGAGAAAACTTATATAAATGTGAAAGAATTAATACATGGAGTCATTATAAGCATATATATTGAGAACACACAATGGTTATCAATCAAATTTTTTGAAAATGAACGTTCATGGTTTTCATCATTTGAGAATATAGCAAGCATTTTTCATCAACTAAAACATGTACTAAGAAACTTCTTACTTTCAAGGAGAAATTTGAAACAATATTACCCCACTCTTGATGGAATGGAAGTTGCACTCACATGATGTAAAATACTTCAAACGAAGTGTTAGAGAAAAAGTATAAAGTGCAAACATCATAATAAAGAAAGCACCATTAGAGACATTTATAATCTCCAATTCCTTATGTTTGTTGAAAAATGGTTTGGTTGCAAATATTTTGTGAAAATGTTGGCAAGTTGATTTTCACTATCAAAATGCCCGAATACAACATCCCTTTTTCAACATGATCGTGAAGGTAATTCTCCATGCATGTGTTCCTTTCTTGAGTTACTTTATTTGGAGTCCGAGAATGTAATTCAACTCCCCATAACATTCATTTCAAACACTCTCTGCATAAGCTTAGAGAACTCTTTGAAAAGTTGCATGTTAGTAGAATCAAATATGATATAATTTCAAATGTTTTATGCTTGATATTTAATGAAGCTAAACACGCTTATGTACACATAAGTTTTTATAAAAAATACATGAAAATATAATATGATAAGGTCATTTCAAGTATATAAATTGATAAGTCACTATGAATATCAATTGAGAATTATGTTGTAAATGAATACTCATAATATATATATATATATATATATATATATATATATATATATATATATATATATATATATATATATATATATATATATATATATATATATATATATATATATATATATATATATATATATATATATATATATATATATATATATATATATATATATATATATATATATATATATATATATATATATATATATATATATATATATATATATATATATATATATATATATATATATATATATATATATATATATATATATATATATATATATATATATATATATATATTATACCATACACCAAGTATGTCATGTACTTAGAGAAATAAACAAGTAAAAGAGAGAACTTACTGACAAAGAAAAAGTTAAATCGATACTACCTCACTGTTCAATATGACGGAAGATGCACTTGCATTTCACAAGGAACACTAGAAAGAAAGTTGAACCGAACACAAAGTGTGCCACAAAGATTTTAGAACAACATTATCTTACCACTTTCACTTTGACAAAGTACCCAAATGTATAACTTGTGATGAGTTCAAGAAGGTCATTAATTTTATGATCATTCATGTTGATCGAACTCTCATCTTTATCCTTTCATGTTAGTCATCTTTCTCCTCCTCATGTTTCATCGATTTGGGTTGATCAATTTCTTCTTTGGTGTCATTGAGTATGTCTCTTGAAGATACACCTACATCATAAAA